TTATATTTTCACCATTGTTATCATAATCTACTTTTAAATTTCCTTCGGCACATGGTAAAATCCAAACGAGATGATTATGTCTTTCTAAACTCGTACGCACGCACGCACGCACGCACATGCACACACACACACACACACACACACACACACACACACACACACACACACACACGAACACACACGCACACGCGCACACGGAAAAGCGCGTAAACACGCGCGCACGCACGCGCGCACACACACACACGCGCACGTACACACACACACACACAAGCACACACCACGTTATGTCTTCCGTACCTGGTTGTCACGTTGTCGCGCCAGTATACCGTAACATCGACGCAGACCGATAGGCCAAAATTACACTTTTCAAATGCCCATCACAAACAAATGTGATGGGCATTTGGGTAGAACATTGATGATTTATTAAAAAGATAAAATATTTAATCGCGCCTTTTTGAATAGAATATAGGTTTTAAATCGATTCAAAGTCGTTTTCTTTCCACGTTGACCCATGGCCTAACAAACCGATTCGCAGACGACTGTTTCTCTATCGATCGGTCGGCAGTATTTTAAGCCGCCCCAGACTCATCAATGAATGCCACGCGCGCGCGCGTCGGCAAGCGCGAGCGATGCCGACGTTGAAGTGTGCAATAATATCATTTACTGCGTGATTGAATGATATGAAATCTGTCGCGGCATTCGTTAGCTGCATTTTCCCCGTAGAGCGTAATTTCACGGAGAGCTCGTCGCGATGTCGTCTTCCCGAGAATTCTGTCTCGCGAGCAACAACAACGTATAACGTAACAATCAGGAGAGCGACGCCTAGATTGACTCCCCCGCTGCTCCCCACTGCATGCTGTACGCTGTCGAGAGAGCCTTGGTGGAATATATATATATCACTGTAAACAAGTCTTGATGGCGTTAGCATTGCGATAGTAATAGTAGACGTAATTGTGATGGCGATAGTGATAGAGATATCAATGGCAGCGACGATGACGACGACGATGGCGTTATGGTTAGTCGTTCAGCTAGGAATAGTGACAGTGCAGGTTATAGGGATGGTGATGGCTTTGGTGATGGCGACGGTGATGGTGATGGTGATGGTGATGATGATGATGATGATGATGATGATGATGATGATGATGATGATGATGGTGACGGTGATGGTAATGGTGAGGACGACGGCGATGGCTACGGCGATGGCTACGGCAATGGCGATGGAGATGGCGATGGTGATGGGTGGAAGGGCGACGGATCGAGCAAGAGATCAAGGGAGAGACAGCAGCAAGGCAGAAATGGCGAATGAGTGTGAGAGCGCCAGTAAGCGAGAGAGAGAGAGAGAGAGAGAGAGAGAGAGAGAAACAAAGAACGAAAAAACGAAAGCAAGAGGGAGATATGCATGAAGAGAGGCAGAGAAAGAGAGCTAAAGAGTAGAGACACAGCAAAGGAGGAAGTAAAGAAAGGAGGAAGAGAAGAAGGGAGGAAGGGATAAAACGATGGCAAAGGAGAAAGAGAAAGACAGAGAGGAGGCACAGCAGACGGGACGAAAGAGTCGAAGAGAAATAGATGGAGAGAAAGAGAAGGAGAGAAAAAGAAAAAAGACGGAGAATTGCACAGCGCATTCATGGCACACCGCCTCGCTACGATCCACATAAACTATTCCTACGTGACACGTGTTTTACCACGTACGCGTCTGTCCGGAACCGAATATCCGAACATCTCTGATTGCTCTGACGGCAGACATGCAAAACAATCGTCAGCTCTCACATTCTCAATCAAATCGTGACATCGCATTTTGCATACACGTCCGTCATTTATCTCCGTCGGCGCACGCAAGTTTGTCGGCCTGCATACGCAAGTACACGGCGGACAGAGATTTGACTATCTCCTCTGGGTGGCCGCTATAATAGCAGCCTGGTAAAACATGACGGAATTACGCGAAAAATGTCATTTCTTCACTGCGATCGCCGCGCGGATTTTTTGCATTTTCAATCGCGGATCGAAATAGGGGGCGCGCGCGCAGGGGTGCGTCCGGCGCTGCCGTCGGTCGCCATTGATTCACTTTCGTCCTCTCCCATACCCCCGAAAAAGTTGCGGAAAGTCATTACAACTCATTACCGTGTTTTCACCGGTGTGAACCCAGAGGCCCCGCCGGACGTGGACTAATATCAGCGCCGGTTTTTGATGTAACAGTAAACTATTATTCCGGGGAGCTTGAAAGGACGGCTGCGTCCTCAGGGACGCGCGTCCATACAGCTAGACTCTCAGCGCTCTCCCTCGGGCGCGCCGCGCAACAAGATTAAATTTTCGATTACAATATTTCATAATTCCTTGCGCGCAACGGGAGCCGAGTGCTTCTGCGGCGCGGCGTAAAAAACGTATAAATTCGGTCGATGGGGAGTAGTAATGCTTTGAAATATGAAAATTGAAAAACATTATTTCTCCTAATATAGATAAGCATTACGGCGAAATGGATCAAAATAATAGGTCTGCGCCTGCGGGGAGTAGCTTTGCTTTTGATGTGTGCTGTGAGCTGCACTGATAATACATCCATCGGTGGCTGATGATATTATCTTGTGCTGCTGTTAATGTATTGCCCACGCTCCGGCACGAGTTACCAATCACGCTCAAGCTTGCGCGCGATGCTGCGGCCCCGCGTGCACCATTCACCTGCGGGCGTGGAACACGCCTCCGCCACACACGACGACGAGTTCCATGCGCCATTCCTTGTCCCGATCAGAACGTAGAATTGACTCCGGCGGCGGCGCTCTTCTCTCGGTGACCTTGATTTCTTCGTTTATTAGAATCGCGACTCGAGAGAAAAATCAATGGCTGCGCAGCGCGCGCTGGCAGACGATTTGCACATCGTGACCGAGTTCTCGAGCACGTACGAGGTTGTGAAATCTCTCAGCATGAGATACGCCATGTTAAGCCATGTTATTGTACGCGACGAGAGAACACACCTCGACAGCATATCACTGTTAGCATTCTGCAAAAGCAGTTAGCCGCAGTTACCAAGAGTTGCAATATTATTTACTTTTGT